AAATGGGGAGGGGAGGGGGGGTGAAGGGAGGGCAGGGGCAAGGGGAAAAATGAGAACCAAGACCTGTCATGTGAGGGTGCAAGATCCCAGTAGTGAGTGTAACTGTACTGTATGCCTAGAATGTACCAATAAACTCAATTTAAAAAAAAAGAAAAGAAAATCTTGATGTGATTTCCTAAAGGCCTGGAAAACAAAGTGGAAAAGAAAAGATATCATGGAGAAAAACCTACTTAAGTGTAGGGGAAAAGAACTAGAAAAGGGGATGTAAGAAATTAAAACCAAAATAAGGTGACTAGACGTTGGCGGAAGGGGTGAGGCAGGACTATCGCCTCTTCCTCGGCCAAGGAATCCGGACCTATCTCTTCTAACTTACTATTCCAGCCCCCAATCGCTACTCGGCCCCAGGGTCCGCTCTTCTCCACCCAGAAACTAGCTGAACTCCGAAAGCCTCCGCTTTCAGGCAACACGAAGAAAGAACGGGGCGGTTTTTGTATTTACCGCCTCAGAGAGGTTAACGCCATCCTAGATCTCCCTACCCCACCGCCGTTTCGGGAACGCAAGTCCGTGCAGCAGACCGTGAAGGCCGTCTTACCTTGCCCCCGTTAGTGAACCTGTGAATGTATGCAGTAGCCACTCCCGGAATGACCAAGCACACGGCCATGACGGAAAGTCCAGGGAGAATCTCGAACCACATCTCGGATCGGGTACCTAGACCGAAACCCTCCGCTCTTCTCAAAGGTGACCTAGCTTCAGCTTTCTTCCCAGTATGCTCCGTGGCAGCCCCCTAGAGGGCGGTAGCAAGTAAGTCGCCGGAGGAAGCGACGGAATCCGCTAGGGCTCAAAAGCAGTTGGCGCTCGCGCTCTCGCCGTCGTTCTCGTGTACTTTTTCCATCAGTTCCTTTTCTCTGCAGAGCGCGCGACGTGCAGTTACGTGAAGAGGCCGGGCGCGATCCACCGTACTGCAGCAGTTTCGGAGCTCGGGACTCTAAAATGGCAGAGGAGCTTTCTCCAGGAAAGACAGCAGACCAGGTATGCACCTTTCTCTTCAAAAAGCCTGGGCGGAAAGGGGCTGCAGGCCGCAGAAAGCGACCAGTGTGCGACCCAGAGCCCGGAGAAAGCGGCAGCAGCAGTGACGAAGGCAACACTGTAGTCCGACCGGAGAAGAAGCGGGCGATCCACAATCCAATGATACAGAGGACTCGAGGCAGCGTTAATAAAAGGGCGGCCTACGGCGATTTGAGCAGCGAGGAGGAGGCGGAGGAGGAAAAGAAAGAGCCCGAGAGCCTCGGCGTGGTCTACAAGTCCACCCGCTCGGCGAAACCCGTGGGGCCTGAGGATATGGGGGCGACAGCTGTCTACGAGCTAGACACTGAAAAAGAACGGGACGCACAAGCCATTTTTGAGCGCAGCCAGAAGATCCAGGAGGAGCTGAGGGGCAAGGAAGATGATAAAATCTATCGGGGAATCAATAATTATCAGAAATACATGAAACCCAAGGATACATCTATGGGCAACGCTTCTTCCGGGATGGTGAGGAAGGGCCCCATTCGAGCGCCTGAGCATCTACGTGCCACCGTGCGCTGGGATTACCAGCCCGACATCTGTAAGGACTATAAGGAGACTGGATTCTGCGGCTTCGGAGACAGCTGCAAATTCCTCCATGACCGTTCAGATTACAAGCACGGGTGGCAGATCGAACGTGAACTTGATGAGGGTCGCTATGGTGTCTATGAGGATGAAAACTACGAAGTAGGAAGTGATGATGAGGAAATACCATTCAAGTGCTTCATCTGTCGCCAAACCTTCCAAAACCCAGTTGTCACCAAGTGCAGGCATTATTTCTGTGAGAGCTGTGCACTGCAGCATTTCCGAACCACCTCGCGCTGCTATGTCTGTGACCAGCAGACCAATGGCGTCTTTAATCCAGCGAAAGAATTGATTGCTAAACTGGGAAAGCATCGAGATGCTGCAGAGGGTGGTGTTTCCGATTTCCCAGAAGACCCTGATGAGGCTCCAGTTCCCATTACTTAGGATTTCCATAATTCTGAAGTCTCAAAATAAATATTTTGCTGTTCTTTTGAAAAATATGAATTCTTGTCCTTGTTTTGGCGGGGAGGGGGGGAAGTGACAGAGAAGGCAGATAGTGAAGTAGTGTCCTGGGTTAAAAGCTTCAAGGTAGGTGTTATCTAGATTTTTAACCCTGGGATAAACAGCCTGTGTGTCTTTTCAGGACCTTCTGGAATAAATTAAGGGAATGGGAAAAGTGCAAGAAAAGAGCTAGAATTTACTTGAAGTGACCAAAGTTGTGATGAAAGCAAGAACTGAACCCATTTATTATATATCATTTCTGTACCACTTAATAGTTTTCAAAAGATAGTTTGATGCATTATCTGTCTTGGGAGGCAGTACTACTTTGAAATACATGCCAGCTATGGTGTTATGGGGCACTGAGTTGGGGGCTAGTAGCTAGTAGCACCACAGTGTGCATTTATGCGAAGTGTGCCTTCCCCTCTTTAAAAGTACCCATATCAAGACCAGCCTGGGCTACATAGTGAGTTCCAGGTCAGTCTCAGCTACATAGACCCTGTCTCAAAAAACCAAAAAAAGTACCTACTTCCATGGATGATGGAAATGCTCTGTGTTGTCCAATATGCTGCCTCGGGTAGCTGTTGAGTACTTGAAAGTGGCTAGTGACCACCCTACTGGACATTGCAGTTTTAGATGGAGCTTGTGAACTGGCAAAGGGCAAAAACCTAGTAGATTTGGGGTCCTTTCAGTACTCGGGATTGAACCCCCGGCCTTTGTACTGAGACACATCCCAAGCCCTTTTTCTGTTTTTTTGTTTGTTTTGTTTTTTTAGGACAGGGTTTCACTAAGTTGCTAAATTGCCCAGGCTGGGCTTGGGCTTGCAGTTCTGCCTCAGCCTCCCAGAATGCTGGGATTACAGATGTGGACCACCATGCCTGGCCACAAACCTAGTATTCTATAATCCATTGCCTACAACTGTGATGTTGTCACAGACCCTCTAATAGATCTGATCATACCTTGTTAAAGTTAGTCAATGTACCTGTCTTCCCAACTAGTCTGTGGATTCAGTGACTAATCTAGTGCTTGACATACAGTAAGTTTTTTTTGTTGTTTTTTTTTTTTTGGTACCTGGGATCGAACTCAGGACCTTGTGCTTGTGAGGCAGGCAGCAGCACTATTGAGCTAAATCCCCGGCTGACATACAGTAAGCTTTTAATAAATAAGACCAGAGATTTAAGAAGGGAAATTAGTGTGGTATGTATATGTACCGGTTCCCCACAATGAAAATATTATGTTTGTCTTTTGTGTTGTTTTTAATTTTTGTATCAGGGATCGAACTCGGGTCCTTGTGCTTGCGAAGCAGGAGGCGGCACCACTGAGCTAAATTCCCAGCCCTGAATATAATATGTATTGCAAGCATATACTAAGGAAGAGGGGTTGGTCAAGACGAGTCTGGACCCTGTCTCAGAAAAATAAATGGCTGTAGCTCAGTGGCACCATGCTTGTCTGGCAAGCCCAAGGTCCTGAGTTCAATTCCTGGTATGGAAGGAAAAAAAAAACAGAGATTAGGGCCAAATCCTCAAATCTAAACCCAGGAGCTTCCCTGTATTCTGTAAGTAGTGGAGACATAGCAGAGGTGTGAACAGGGGAACACAATCAGTCTTTGTTCTTTTTACTATTACTGAGGTTGCATTTATAAGTTTTGGGGGAGATGAAAGATGAGGTAGGGAGGACAGTTAGGCTAAGTAATTAGCAAATATTTATTGATAAGAATTTGGAGCCTGGGGATGTAGCTCAGTGGTGGTGTGCTTGCCTAGCATGCTTATGGTCCTGGGTTCCATACCCAATACTAGCAAAAATAATAAAATGCTTAGAGCTGATACCAGAAAAAAATGCAAGAATAAACTGGGTTAAAGTGTTTATATTCACATTTGTGAATATTTAAAGTTACTCTTAACAGCTAATCTCAAGCACTGTGCTTGATGCAGGGGGTAGCATTGAATCAGATAAACCGAAATCCTGGTCTCTGGACATTAAGCAATGACAAGTGCACTGAGTTCAAGAAAAGAGTGCATGGGGCTGATTGCTGATGATTAACCCAGTCCCAGCCTTGGAGTTCAGAGATGAACTCACTTGATAGAATATTATACGCTCTGTAAAAGAATGTATAAAGTATGGGGATACATGAGAAATGTGCTGGGAAAAGGACTTACACATCAATTAAGAAACAACATTTAAAGAATGAGAGGAAGAAATGGGATAGGAAACAGGAAAGTGGATACTGTAGAGGTGGGTGGAGAAGCAGGAGAGTAAATTGCTATGCAACACAAAGGAGAAAGGTCATAGAAATATGGCAATGAGTAGCAAAAGAACCACAAAAGTGCTCATTTTTTAACTATCCCTGAGTATACTTTAAAATTTATTCAAAGGTAGAATGAAGCTTTATGGGAAAAGATAAACTTTGAATCCTCACCGACAGTAAAAGCTGAAAGAAAAGATCTAGGAAGGAGTACAGAAGATGAAAGAGAAGGAATTCCACTGATGACTAGCTGAGAAGGGATAGAAAAAAATCAAGGAGCATAAAGCAAATTCATCTTAAAGAGCTGAGAAAAAAGTGGAGAAAGATGACATTTGTTTCCTGTTCTATAGGTTCTTAAATACCAGCCTGTGAGTCTTTTTTTTTTTAATTGGAAGTTTGCACCTTTACATAATCTGTCTTGGTTCTTATTTTTCCCCATCCCCCTGCCTTCCCTTCAACCTCTCCCCCCCTCCCTGTTTATAAAGACTTTGTTTCCTTTTTTTTTTCATTTTCTGATATTTATTCCTTTCCCTTCTTTCCTTTCCCCTACCCTCCCACTTCCCCTTCCCCTTTGGTCCTTTTCTTCCTATTTCACAATACCTATTATGCCTTTTGATCCTTACTTTCACTTTCAGTTTCTTACACCAGAGAAACTATTCATGGCCTGTGAAATTTGAAAGACTATGAAACAAGGGCTGGGGATTTAGCTCAGTAGTTTTGCTGCCTGCTTTGTAAGTGCAAGGTCCTGAGTTCAATCCCCAGTCTAAAAAAAAACTACAAAACACCTCTAGATGGTCATTATTCTTGGGATCCAAAGAATTCAGCAGATTCTTAACAGACACCATTACTCCACAAGGGCATGTCACGCAGTGGTGTACTCAAAGTGTTTTTCATGTTTATAAGCTATGACTACATTTGGTGGGGGGGGTACCAGGGATCAAACTCAGGATTTGCACTTGTGAGGTAGGTGGCAGCACCACTGATCTAAATCCCCAGCCCTACATTTTTTAAAAAGTCAAATATTTTACCACCTTTAATTAAATGATGCAACTTCATTTCATTGGAAACGAAATAGCTGTTCTTACAAATTAAAAATACTAAATATGGTGAGGGAGGCAAGTACCCAGCAGCCAGCAGAGATGAAACCAGCTGGACTCCAAAAGAGCTATCCTGGTGGGAGGAAAGGAGCCTCGAACTGACACCTGAAAGGTGAGTGGGAGAAAGTATCCCAGGCGGACGGACAAGTATCTACTAAGGACCTGATCTAAGAGACTGACTTCAGCTAAGAACTCAAAGCAGCCCAGCTTTCAGGACTTTATCTGAAGGGCAAAGGGACACCATCAAAGAGTTTGGGATTTTTTTGTTTGTTTATTTCGGTTTGCTTTTGTTTGTGTTTTTTGACAGGGTAGTATGTACCCTCACTATTTAGTTCAGGCTGGCCTCGAACTCCTGATAATCCTCCTGCCTCAGCCTAC